ACCATGGGCTATAGCACAGGAATTTTTTCAAAATTTTGGCATTTTCTTAAAATGGCCGTAACTTGAAAAATTTAAGTCGGAATCACCTCAAACTTTCTACACAGCATAAGGACATCAATGTGTAATAGAAAATGTAATAAAAATTGGGGGTGATTTCGGAGCCATTTTTTGAAAAAAAACCATGGGCTATAGTACAGGGTATTTTTCAGAATTTTGGCATTTCCTCAAAATGGCTATAACTTGAAAAATTGAAGTCAGAATTACCTCAAACTTTCTACACAGTATAAGGACATCAATGTGTATCTGAAAATTTAATAAAAATTGGGGATCATTCTGGAGCCATTTTTTGGAAAAAACCTTGGGCCTTAAGTATTTTTCAAAAACTGGACTGTTTTAAAAATGATCATAGCTCAAAAAATTGAAGTCGGAATCAGCTCAAGCCTTCTACACAGTGCAAGGACATCAAATCAATATGTATCGATACAATGGTATAATAATTACCAGAAATATCAAATTCTCTAAATGTATCGACAATTGACTGATCCTCATCAGCTAACACCAAACAAGCAAATACATTTAAAAGAGGAGAGGATCGGGAAGTTGACAGAAACAACAGATCATCAAGGACCTCCCAGCAGTAATAGGTGGAGGGAACGGTACGAGTGAAATAACTTTGATTATTATTAGAGTATAATAATGTATTATTGAATGGTAAGGATTCATTTTGACCACTAAAAAAGAGAAGAAAAGTATCAGTACATCTCAGTAATCTCTCAGTTTATTACAGTATACTATCTGCTTACTTCAAAATGGCACTCAAGATGGTTGGAAATGCTTCATTATTTTCAATAGTGGTGGGGTCAATGTCATAAACATAAGTAGTAGGATATCTACTGTGATACATAATACGACCTACATGTATAGTAAAATAATAATAATAATAATAATAATAATAATAATAATAATAATAATAATAATAATAATAATAATAATAATAATCATTATTTTTTACACTCACCATTTCCTTGTAGTACCATGTAATAAGACGAAGGTCGATCAACCACGCTCATTTCTATCCCAATAAATAACTGTTGCCATGGCATCCGCATTGTTAACACGCCCCTAAACACGTCTGATATTATAATATTACGAGAGAGCGTGAGACAAAGAACTAACAAAAAATAGAGAAAAAATTATAAAGTTGTATGCAAATAAGATTATATTTTATACCTCCTTGTGAATTAAAATCAGATGATAGAATATTGCTAGTTGAGACGGAGCCTGACATTATGAATGATGTATAATAATTCCCAATATCTAATACATTATTATAAGCAGGACCGAAAAAACTAGAGTTTGAAATAACTGAAAAAAAAACAAAATAATTTTTTTCTAGCTTATAATAATCTTTAATCATTTTACCGTGTAAGGCGTAAGGGATTATAGTAAAATCAGTGTTGTTGCTAAATCTTGCTCCGTCGAAATCATCAAGGGAACTGTTAGTTAACATAATGAGAAGTTTTATGGTCGAATTGCTGCAATTTGAATCACAAGCTGCAGCAAATAATCCTTGGATCATTTGAAATGCACTAGAATAGCTTCTTGGAGCTAAAACAATAAAAAGGGAAAAAAATTAAAATTAAATGTAGTGATCAAATTTAAAAAAATTATATTCTTACTAGTGCCTAGTAATTCATTCTCTATTATTCCTGAGAGTATCCATTTCTGTGATTCCGTTACGCGTGAAAATGAAGTCGGACATAACCTTTGCCTATCGCTATTCACTATAACCACTGATATCTATATTAAGAATAAGAACACATCACACTATTGTTAGCAAAATGATATACATTTTGTACATGTAGCTCTTCTTTCAATTATGGCAAAATTTAGCCTAAAACTGTGTACTATAGTACAGGGACTTTTTGCTCAA